GTTCTAAAGTTGTAATAAAAATCCAGTTACTAATTAGCGATGACTTTTTCAAATCTAAACTCATAGGCTGAATAATTTGTGAATGTATGTATTTATCAAGCTGAAAGAATTCAAGGAGTGACAAAGCAAAAGAAGTATTCGTATCTCTTGACTTCTCCCGCCTTTTGAGGCGGTTCTAGAGGACTGTTGTAAGTCAAAATTTTACTATAAAGAAATGTAGATGAATTCTTCCTATACTTCCTCTGACAAGTTCGTGCTTGAGAAAATGCCCAAATTAATCTACTTGTAGGCTAATTACTTGCTCAGAATACGATAAAAAAGCTATTAAAAGAAGCATCAAGCGAAACTACTGTTACAGATGAAGGATAAAGTTCTTAGTGTTAATCAACCCCTAAATTTGGATACACCACAGATTTGACTTCATCTGACTTGTAGACGCATTTGAATGCGTATCAAGTCTTCACAGTGGCAATTCGAGTTCATTTCGGCGCTTTATGCTCCCAGAGGGTAACACTTTCCAATCCTGAAGGAAAGCAAAGCTTTGATTTGAAGGGTAGGATCGATCCGTGATTTACTCAGTGATAGCAGCATTTCTTGTAACTACACCAGATCCCACTCCCTCTATATAACAGATTTACAGATGTTTAAATAGCCTTCAAACTCACCTTATAGTTTTAGAAAACTTTAAATATCTCCGTATGTGTTATACTACGGAAATCAAAACGAAACTAATTTCCTGAAATTTGAAAAGGCGGGAATGGGCGCTTATGCTAGTGACACGTTCTCATGTGCACATTCATTTGTTCGGAAGCTCTGCAAGATTAATGGAAGAGGTAACAGTGGTTTAGTAGAGATTGAACCAATTAGTTCAGGATATTTAAAAATAAGGAAATCTCATTTTTTTAGTCGAAGGATCAGTTGCTTTCGTTGAAGAGAGAGGGTAAATAAGGTGGTGGTTGATTCTCTCACGTAAGACAAAGTTTATAGATTGCTGTAAATTGAGTGACTTTTTGACTTCGTTGAAGAATATCTACGCCTGCTGCAATTATGATGAGAATTACTATGATTTACAGCAAATTTCTTGCTTAATGAACTTGTGATTAACGTTCAAAAAGTACGCTTGTCATTTTATGATTTTTGAAGTTTAGGCTAATGGTGTTTGAAGCGAGAATTTTTTCGTCCTCCGCATCTAGAATACTTGATTATTTTTTGCTCATCGTGTCGAATGTGCCATGCGATAAAAACAACTGCAGTGAGGGGAGAAGTAAAGCCGCAGTATTTATTGAAGCATAGAAAAATCTAAAAACATCGCTTACCTAACTCGGCTTTCTGACTAGAGCAGAGATGACGCATCTTTTTTTTTAAATTGAAAATTTCCTTTTTTCATGGTTCTCTTCAGACATTTTCTTGCCTTTTCTCAAATGCGACCTCAAGACGCCACTCAGCAAGCCGACAATTTTAATATAATATAAAACATATGCAAACGGGGTCATATTCCATCTACTTGGCTTGTTTGAAAAGTAGATTCGTTTAAGTCTAATACTCAAAGAAGGAAATTTTTGTCCTTCCTCTATTTACAATGAAGCTATTACCTTTAATACAGTAATTTCCCAACAATGGAAAAGTTGCACCATTGTAGCATCAATACGTACAAGTGTTTTTACTCGTGAAACACTCTGATACATTAATACATCATATTATACAGAACTAATTCGGTACTAAATTTGAAACTAAAAGAAATTCTTCTCTTAGAGACTGAAAAAAAAGAGCTTTCATTTAGGTGGGGATCACTGATCGAGAAAAGCATATGTTATAGAAAACTTGCTTGATTTTTTTGAAAAAAAAATGCTTATTCATTTAGTAAACTCCATGCAACACTATGTGCTTTTTGAAATAAAATACTCCTTATGAGGTTCAAATAAAAGTCTTCCGAGCAAAATATGTGGAAAACTTTATGATATTTCATAAAACCCTTAAGCAACTGATCCTAAGAGTTGACTTTGCTAATTCTAGCTTCGTGTTTACTTCCAAATGCAAAGATTTACAGCAGGGCAAAGCGTTTAATGCAGATTATTGTTTGGCTAGTAAGACTCTGCGTAGATAGACTCATTAGTGGAGGAGGAGAATGTAGTGAGACATGTCTTGAGTTCTCTAATTTTTTCCATTAACAAGCAAACGTTGAAATGAAGTGAAATTCAAATTTTAGAGTGAGACACTCAAATCTTTCGCTAATTCGTTATCGCTAGTCATAAAATCACAAAAGTGCTGAAAAGGTGTTAAAATCACAGCATAAAAGATAACATCCAAATGGATTCACGAAATGAAAGCAAAGTGTAGAAATGGGGAGAAAGTTGCCGTAGATGTGATGGCAGTTAGCATGGTCGGCGACGACGACGGCGCATGTCTAGTAATTAGAGGAATGGCCAAAATCGCTAGATAAATACCTCGTCTCGGGAGGAGCGAAAGGGAGGCGTATGCTCGTCTCTGCTATGCCCTGATGGCACACATGACAAGCCTACGATTACGGATTTGATACTCAATGCAGCAACGGCAGCAGCAGCAGCATCCGTAAAATCGCTGGAGCGAATCATTGACGCCGATCATGTGCAAGCAGCATCGTTTAAATGAAAAACTGCGAAACATCTGCTAAAGAGAAAGGATTTTGAGGAAGTAAGCTCAAAAACGATAGTATTACAGTGTTTAAGTATTTATTGCAAAGCTGAGGCAG